TTTGAATATATATTATTTTGAATATATGTCCTTTATAAAGTGTTGTATTACTGCCTTCTGTCAATAATCACAGGTGGCACGATATTTGAGAGGATCTTCCTCTTTTCCCTTTGACTTTCGGAGCAGCAAGACATGTTTCCTTTTGGTCTGATAGTGTTAAACTGGAACACACCTATTCTATAGTTAATAGACTCTCCCACCTATAATAAGTAGGAGTAGTAGTAGTAAGAGTCGCTCAGTGAGTTGATCAGTCAGTCAATGTCGGACATTAAAGTATCAGCCACCACAACTAGATTGCTGTGTCATTAACTATTATATCAAGTTCCTAACGTTTTGTACGTCGAACCTTTTTAGGACCGACTTAATGAAATACAAGCCTGCACTGTGAAACTACTCTATAACAGATAGACAAAGTATGTAAGTATTCAGACACAGACTGAAGATTGTATTGAACTGTTCACAACTTCAAATTCATTTCTTTCTTTATCCCTCTGTCACATGTCTTCTTTGAATCCATTGAAATGCTTGAGAAAGCTTCTCTGTATCTCCTACTGGGAGTACAAAACCAATCATTATGTACGAAGCAAGATCAAAAGACAGGAATCTCTCCTCACCACTATTAGACGTTGGAAGATGTCATGGTTTGGTCATGTTATATGACATAACAGCCTCCGCAAGACTATCATGCAAGGTACTGTTAAAGGCAGATGCAAGTGGGGATGGCAAAATAGACAGGAAAATGCCAGAACTCATGAGAGAACATTCTAATCTTTCCATTTCATCTCACTTAGCCCAGGAAGTGAATCCCACTCCTGGAGGTTAGCATCAGTCATACTGATAGAAAGTAAAAAAGCTTCTCTGAGATGATTAAAAGAGAGCAGTTTTGTTTTTGAGGCATTAAAATTAAGAAGTTATTCCATCCCTCAGTTAACAACAGATTGTAGGTCATTTTTGATATCAACTGCCAATCTGACCTTATCAAACAGATCAGACTTACCATTAAGACAGGAGTAAATAGTTGTTAAAAATATTGAAGGATCAAACCGTTGAAAATCTTTTCCTTATATTATTAAATAAAAAAAATAAATGAAATCTGTAGTTAAATGAGCTTGTGTTCCTCTGACGTCACTTGTAGAACACCAAATACTTCTTTTTCAATCTCCCAATATAAAAATCGTTCTTCTTCTCACTGCTTCAGCCCTCTTTTACTATACCAACACCACGGTCAACTGACCAATTAGTGTTCTTTGCTTTGTCCTCAGTTACCCAGTCAAATGGCATCTTGTAGTCCAACCAATAAGCACACGAATTGCTATTGGTTGAACCATGCTAAGCTGTACAAAAACCACCATTACAGAATATACACTTTTGGAATAATCTAAAGTGGATTGGGGGGTGGGGAGATTCATGCCATTTTCAAGAAACAAAATGTTGCTGCTACGTGTTGTGTATTGAGGTAAGGAATTTATTTTCTTTTGCACCAGATGCAAGCCACTCTGATTTGCTTGCTTTTACGTATACCACAAAATATAATTTCATGAACTGCCTAAGTTAGCCAAACTTATCTCTTTTGGACAAAATATCCCATGCAAATTCTCTTGCTTTCCAAAGCTATGCATATTTATTTTTTTAAAATTTGCAAGAAAAATTTTCTCATGACAGCCAACTTTGCTTCGATAAAAATAAAATCTTCTTCTGTTAACTCTTTTGTTTGTCTATTTTTATTCTGAACTGAACTAAATTTCTTTTCACTTGTCAGCCGACAAGCCATTTCAACTTAACTAATCATACCTTCCCCCCAGGCTGAACATAATAAACTTTATGCTAATGATCCCTATAATGAGTTGTACCTTTCATATGAATTTTAATATTTAACAAAGAACTTTATTCTCACTAGTGAATACTTAAATGCATTATGACGAAGCTAATGTTTTATACAGACAACCATGTGTGACATGATGGATAATGGATAACCTGATGTGAGAAATTGGAGAATGGAGTTTGAATTCTAGTTGGGTTCATTATATTTGCTTACCTGCAAATACTCTTGGGAAAGGTATGAATCCATCTTTCCAAAGCTCCCTCTGCCCAGCTATGGGTCGAATAGCTAGACAGACTGGGTTTTAAAGCCTTGGAGGAAAGAAATGGCAACCTATTGCGGGAAAATCTTCTGTCTAGTCAGTCATGAATCATATGAGACATAATCACCCAAGCATGTGTGGCACTTAACTGATACAAGATAAAATAAATCTCTTGTTTTTGTAAGATTTCATCATCTATTCATTATTTCTTATTGTTGATGCATATTAGCATTGTACCTTTTGAATAGTTTACAACTTGTATACTCATCTTTCTTTACTCCTGACTCCAATGAGTGCTCAATAAAACTGGCTACCATAAGGAAAAGATAATCCTACAAAAGACCTGAAGTATATCTCATACTCAAATGTACTTACCTGGCACAGGAGTTTGCTTTTGGCTGGAAGGAGTAAACCAATTCTCATTTTAAATAAGGGAAGGTTTCTGGTCCCTGGGTATTCTAACCCTGTGGCAGCAACTTCCACTTTGTACTTATAGGTGAGGTTGGTGTAATATCAACGCCAGCATGAGGGGGCCAAGCAATTTTTTTGCTTGGTCTATATCTTTTCTACAAATATTTTATAAAAGTATTGTTACTAATGCTATACTCATTGCTTAAATGTGTAGGGGTTAGATAACCCCTACACATTTAAACAATGAGTATAGCATTAGTAACAATACTTTTATCATTCTCTTTTACTTTTTTAACTTATTTAACTAGAAGATGGGATAAAAAGATAAAGGAAAAGAGGTTTGTCTATTGTAATTTGGTCTCTCAAAAAAGGAACTCACATGATACACAAGATACATGATAAAATCATTTTGTATAAGTGACAATTTGGGAGTCACACGATATATGAGATCATGCATTACATGAATATATACAGTATATATTCTGTAGACAATGAATAAATCTGTTAAAGTTGACAATGATAAACTTAAACTGCTATTGCCTGATTAAGCAAAATAGTTACTAGAGAATGTTTTGTCTAAGTACTACTTCACTTATTTACTATCTTTGTCATTCATTATGGCATGGCAGATATAATATTTTGAATATCTGGCTATGGGGGAGAGAGTACAGGAAGAAATGGATTCATGCCTTTCTCAAGTATATTAGTATGAAGTGAGCATAAACAGCTGGAATTTGAACTCTTATAGCTGGATCCCTTTTCTTGATGATGGTTACACCCTCCTACTTCTGACTATAACTCTACTTGTAGCTGTGATTGGATCTTGTCAAGGTTAGCAATGGCAGTAATTTTTTTTTTTTTTTTATAGTTGTATTCAAGGTCTCGCTCATCTTTTTACTGCCAGTTGTTGTGGCATGCTAGTGGTGAGACATTTTTCCAGATATCTGGCTATGTGAGGGAATATTGGGAGAAATAGATTTGCATCTACCCCAGAGGTGTTCGTGTGCAAGTAACAAAAATAGCTGGAGTTTTTTTTTTATAACTAAGTAACAAAAGAGACAAAATACATTAGTATGCTTGTAAATAAAAGAAAACATTAAAAGTTAGCAATTATGAATTGTGTGTGTGATATATGTGTGTGCGTGATACATGTGTGCAGGGGGGAAGGGAGGAGAGAGGGAATCCAGTTACTCAGGGGAAGATATACACATGCTGGAGACAGATCCTGGGCTGGTGTTACTTCTACTGCATGCTAGAAGGAAGATATATATTTTATAGATGTCTAACATTGTCACCTAACATTGTCTTGGCGAATCTGGCAAAGCCATGTGGGCGTAAATCAAACTAACACGGGAGCATTTAGTGATTCATATTTATGACGAGAGGAGAACAAATTCCAAGGAAATGTGCAAATTTCTGCAGATAAGGGGTGGAGGGGACATATGATGGATTTATCAACCAATGGCATGCAGTTTGAGTTTTTTAAAGCAAAAGTTTGCAGAGAATGAAATTAAAATTTGTTATGACAAATAAAGCAGTTTATATTTAATTTGAACAATGTTTGAACAAAGTATCTATAAACAAAATGTTTGTTTTTGCTATCCTCTGCCAGCTGTAATGATGGAGAAAGCATTACTTTGCACTATCACTAGTGAGACATGCTGCAAGACATGCTCATCCCTTAATTGAGACGCCATACCACCAACCCTCCAAAGGAACACCAATGAACAAGGGCCAATAATCCCAGATGTCTCCACTGCCACAGGATTAAAAAAAATCTGTCAGCAAGAGAAGAATATTTAACTATTTATTTTATCTCTGTGTCCTTGAGTGACAGACCCTGGCTCAACTGCGGACTTGATCAAATTACCAACTGAAAATGTATCAGCACAGGTCGCATCGCAAATCAACGACTTCCCCATTTTAAAAGGAAAAAATGATAATGCCATCTGGCTGCTTTCCATCGCCACAGTCAAGGCCTTCAGGTTTGATTTGGGAAGGAAACCCAGCTGGAGTTTGAACTTTGCAGATAATAACTAACACAAATATAGGGAACTTTTTCTTATTGCCATCAGGAGGCAGAGAAGACCCTGACGCTAATCTCTAGGAGAACGACTCCTTTCTTAGGCTCACGTTTTTCACTAACATGAAGTAGAATGATTATATTGAACCAGTTGCCTTGACTACTGCTAGGAAATTTAGTTCCCTGTATCATGCCAGGCAATTTATTTCCTCAGAATCCATCTTGCATATTTATAAATCTACCATTTGTCCATGCAGTGAACATTTCTACTCTTGCTATCTTGACAAAATTCAAAGAATTGTCTGTAATGTAACTGATCCTGACCTGGCATCTTAACTTCAGCCACTGATGTGATATGGCTTCCCTGTCAAAAAACCCCATAGAATTTTGTTAGAATTAAAAAAATTGACTTGAAAATAGGGTATTTCAGTTGAAGATTTTCATAAAATTTATTAAACTAAATTTATTTTCTTTATTATTTTCAGGGTACTGTTATTGCTGACCCAAATTTCAGTGCAGAAGTATCTGCCCAGAACCTCAGGGATGCCATGGAAGGGTTTGGTAAGTAATCTTACAGTTACACCTTAAAATATTTTTAATTGTCTTGTATTCTGTGGTGGGGAGAGATTAAAATAAATGTAATTTTTATGAAGAATTTCTAAACAAGTATGTCTGACCTACCCTCACTTTTGATAGCATCTTTGACTGTTGCTTCCAGTCTATTGGGAATAACTATATTTAGCCCCCCACCCCGGAGGGTTGCATGTGGCACAAGGCCTGGTTTAATGTGATCAGTTTGGTCAACCTCCCTGAATGAGACTCTGTCCCATGGCTGAGCCTCATCCGGGTTCCTCTCTTCTCAGAGGCAGAGAGTTCGACCGTCTAGCCGAAAAGATTTCAGTTAGACTCGTCTAATGGAAATGACTGCTAAAGACATTCCCTTCCTCAAATTTATAAACAGTTCTTACAAATGCATGCTGGAATTTCTTCCTAATCAATAAATGTGGACCATTTCTCAGTCTCATCTGCCATATTTTTCTTCTTTTTTTCCTTGAAGTCAGAACGCTATAACCACTTGACTGTATCCCTTTTGTGTGTTAACACCATTCTTATTTTGTGAATTTTTTCCTTATTACTGTTGCTTTTTGTAATTTTGACAAGTATATATAGTGTTTGCTTGAGATTATTTTGCCCTGTTCTTTTTCTTCCTTTTCTTATTGGAAACTTTGTCAATTCCACTTGTTGAGCATTTTTGACATTTATGCTTAACCGCTGACCATTACTCCGCAGTATGTTAGTATATGTGTATATATATTCATGTTAGAGTTACTCATAAGAGAAATAGTAATAACAATATCATTATTAATTTTTTACTTTTATTTCATTTTAATTTCAATCAGTGGCATGCAAAGGGAGTGGGGCGATGGTGCAGTGGCCCAGCCAGCACACCTTGTGGGGTGGTGGGCAGCATTTCTGATGGAGTATATCATTTTTGTTGTAACAAAGGCAGTGATAAAGTTAGACTGTTCTAGATCAGTCAGTATGTGTGTGTGGCCTATTGTCCTCATCTTTGTTGTTGTTATCACAAAGTTTCAGCTGTTGTGTCCACTGGCCTTCATCAGGTGTATTTTGTTCTGGGGAAATTACAGGTTATTCTAAACTGAACCCTTTTTTAATGTACAGGGTTAGACTGTTCTAGGTCAGTCAATGTGTGTATGTGTGTGTGTGTATGTGGCCTTGGGCCTTCATCTGAATGTGTGCATTGTCTGAGATTCTTGTTACTTCTTGAGTGGGTGTTATATATTTAGTTATCATATGGTTTCTCTCATGCACAGCACATAATCAGGCACAGCTGTGCTGATCATGTGGGTTTGTACTCAGTGGCCAGGAGGTCATCTCCCAGGATGACCCTGCCTCTGGCTCTGGTTAAGTTCAAAGACTATTCTGGTATGAAACCTATAACTTTTATTGTTTTTAGTCATTTCACCCCAAGCAAGGCGGTAATATCACTATAACGCGGAGATTGGGTTATGGGTTTGCTGGTAATAAAAGTGAAAGAACAAGATGACTGAGAATGGGGTGGATTGAGGAAAAGATAAAAAAGCACTGGGTTCAAGATGACAGAAGATGGTGATTGACATTACATTTAAATTTTTGAAGATTGTAGTTATCAGGGAAGCAAGAAATCAGAAGGGAGTTCCACAGGCAGGAAGTGCAAGAAAAGAAACTGTTGGTGTAGAAGTAGAGGTTGCATCTAACTATTTCTACAAAAAATGGTGTGATCTAGTTTCCTATCTAGTAGCATGCTTAATTTCATATAGTCAGGGTACCAGCAAAAAAAAAAAGCTTATTAGAACAGTTGCTGTGAAAATATTTGTAGAAAAGATGCCGCATCGTGTTGGAGAGAAAGTGACTGAAGTCGTAACGCCTGGTCATGATTGATTATATTACAGACACTTCTTTGGATTTTTTGAAGAATCTTGAGATGAACTCCATTAGTAATAGATATAATAGTGTAAGAGTTGTCTGAATTTATTTGAAGCATTATCCTTATTAATTTTTTTTAGGTTTTCTTTGATCTCTTGTTATCTGCTTACACCTGGTCTTAATAATAGATATAGAATTCTTATCTGAAATTTTTCATTTTTAATCCATCTCTGATGTTATTGCTAATTGTTTACTATTAACAATAATAGACAGGAGACATGGTGGAGTAATGGTTAGCAGCTTGGATTGAGGAAATGGGAGCTGAGTTCGAATTCCTGTTGAATCCATTACATTCACTTATGTGTTAATACCCTTGGGAAAGGTATGAATCCTCTTCTTCTCACTCCAGCTATGGGTAAATAGCAGGACAGACCGGGTTCTATAGCCTTTGATGGCAACTGGTCTACTGCAGAAAGAAATGGCAACCTACTGTGGGGAAAAAAAAATCTGCCTCGTCAGTCATGTATCAAAAGATACATGATCACCTAAGCATGTATCATGCATGGTACATAACTGACTGAGACATGACATTCAATTACATGTTAATACCCTTGAGAAAGATATGAATCCTTTTTATCTCCCCACCATCTATGGGTAAATAGCAGGACAGACCGGGTTCTATAGCCTTTGATGGCAACTGATCTACCATAGAAGGAAATGGCAACCTACTGCAGAAAAAAAATATGCCTCATCAGTCATGATCGCCTAACTGCGTATTACGCATGGCATATAACTGACTGAGACATAATAGTGTTATTTAATAGCTGTAATTTCTCTAAATTTCTGGGATGAGGATTTATTATGATTTACATGCAGACTATTGTCTGTAACTTTGTGGTTGTTATCACAATGTCTTGGCCATTGTGCCCTCTAACCTTTATCAGGTATGTTGATCCAGGAAATCTACAGGGAATTCTGAACTGAACATTTTATCTAATCTATGGAGGTTGATTGTTCTAGTTCCATAGAGTGATGAAAAGCATAACATGAGTAGCACAAACTGCTTAGCCAATGAATGCTTAATGTTTCCTTATAAGGAAATAGTTAATATTACCATAAGCTGTTTTAGTGCCTTCTTAATCCCGTCTGTAGGTATTTCAACAATGTTTTTCTTTTAAAGTTGGGGAAAACCAGACATCACTAGAAGCTGAATATGAGATGTTAGGATGCTGACAAATCTAAATCGAGTAATTTTTTGCTATGAGATGTGATAAATCAACTTAGTCATTATGAATTCACACAGCACACCTAGTATCATGTTACTGCTGACCAAGTAACCTCACAGGAGTGCCTGTTCACACATCCTGAGTTCAATCTTCTTTGATTGGTTGCCAAGTTAAAGCAAGGTACCAAACTAGTTCTTGAGGTATTTGAAATGGCTGGAGTGCTGATGGCCATATTATGTTGAAACACTGGTTCTTGTACAATTACCAAAATTAAGCAACATTGATCCTGGGCATTACCTAGATGGGTGACCATTTGGGAATACCAGGTGCTGTAAGCTTGAATGTGTGGATGGTATAATGGATAATGGCTCGGAAAAGGAAAATTGGAGAATGGAGTTCCAATTCTGGTTGGGTTTGTTATACTTATTTACATGCAAATATCTTTGGGAAAGATATTAATCTATCATTTCTCCCTCCATCTATGGGTTAATGAATATGATTTGTATCAGTAAATCATTATTAAAATAAAATACTTCTTACAATTGAAAAATATTTTCTGCTTTAAATGATTTGCGAAAGGTTGATAAAATGTAAAAATAAATCAATCAAATCGTAATGGTTGGATACATTCCAAGCTGACCTTGTATAGACTGGAGATTTTATTCTCATGGCGAGGAATGAGAGATGTCTTGAGTCTACAACATCCTGTGGGTAAAGGGAAGAAAGAGAGGGAATTTAAACCCTTTTCTTATATGTTGATTTTGGCAATTAAATTACTTATTCCAGCCCTTCACTTGTTTCACATTTTTTCTCTCAGGTATGGGGTGTTGAGCTAGAACCTGCCAAGAAGATGCAGATTAATAAATCCTGGTAAAATATCTCTCTTTGTTTTATAGGCACAAATGACAAAGAATTAATTGCTGTTCTGACTCGTCACACAAATGAGCAAAGGCAGGAAATAGAAGCAGTTTACAATGAAAAGTTTGGAAGGGTGAGTAGATATCTGTATTGCTTTTTGATAGAAATCAATTATGGTTATCCATTCCAAGGGAAAATGAAGGTTTCTGCATTTTTTGTCAGTAGGTGAGTAAAGGTTACACAGATCCAGACCCAACCACTCCAATTCCATTCTGGAGTCCAAGATGTTTGGTGAAGTATCTGTGTCAGTAACCAAGTTTTGATACAAGGAATGCCTCTCTTACTAGACCAAGCTTTGATACAAAGGATATATCCCTCTTGCTGGACATAGCTTTGATATAAGGAATATGCCCCTTTTGCTGGATATAGCTTTGATACAAGAAATATGCCCCTCTTGCCAGACGTATCTTTGATACAAGGAATATCCCCTCTTACCAGACCAAGCTTTGATACAAGGAATGCCCCTCTTGCCAGATATAGCTTTGTCTCATTTGCTGGACCGAGCTTTGATTCAAGGAATGCCCCTGTTTCTGGACTGAGCTTTGATTCAAGCAATGCCCCTGTTGCTGGACCGAGCTTTGATTCAAGCAATGCCCCTGTTGCTGGACCGAGCTTTGATTCAAACAATGCCCCTGTTGCTGGACTGAGCTTTGATTCAAGCAATGCCCCTGTTGTTGGACTGAGCTTTGATTCAAGGAATGCCCCTGTTGCTGAACCAAGCCTTGATTCAAGGAATGCCTCTGTTGCTGAACCAAGCCTTGATTCAAGGAATGCCTCTGTTGCTGAACCAAGCCTTGATTCAAGGAATGCCCCTGTTGCTGAACCAAGCCTTGATTCAAGGAATGCCCTTCTTGCTGAACCAAGCCTTGATTCAAGGAATGCCCCTGTTGCTGAACCAAGCCTTGATTCAAGCAATGCTCCTGTTGCTAAACCAAGCCTTGATTCAAGCAATGCCCCTGTTGCTGGACTGAGCTTTGATTCAAGCAATGCCCCTGTTGCTGGACCGAGATTTGATTCAAGCAATGCCCCTGTTGCTGGTCTGAGCTTTGATTCAAGCAATGCCCCTGTTGCTGGACTGAGCTTTGATTCAAGCAATGCCCTGTTGCTGGACCGAGATTTGATTCAAGGAATGCCCCTGTTGCTGGACTGAGCTTTGATTCAATCAATGCCCCTGTTGCTGAACTAAGCCTTGATTCAAGCAATGCCCCTGTTGCTGGACCAAGCCTTGATTCAAGGAATTTTGATTGATTCAAGGAATGCCCCCTGTTGCTGGACCGAATGCCCTCTTGCCATTTGTCTCATTTGCACCGAGCTTTGATTCAATGCCCCTGTTGCTGGACTGAGCTTTGATTCAAGCAATGCCCCTGTTGCTGGACCGAGCTTTGATTCAAGCAATGCCCCTGTTGCTGGACCGAGATTTGATTCAAGCAATGCCCTGTTGCTGGTCTGAGCTTTGATTCAAGCAATGCCCTGTTGCTGGACTGAGCTTTGATTCAATCAATGCCCCTCTTGCTGGACCGAGATTTGATTCAAGCAATGCCCCTGTTGCTGGACCGAGATTTGATTCAAGCAATGCCCCTGTTGCTGGACCGAGATTTGATTCAAGCAATGCCCCTGTTGCTGGACTGAGCTTTGATTCAAGCAATGCCCCTGTTGCTGGACCGAGATTTGATTCAAGGAATGCCCCTGTGGTTGAACCAAGCCTTGATTCAAGCAATGCCCCTGTTGCTGAACCAAGCCTTGATTCAAGCAATGCCCTCTTGCTGGACTGAGCTTTGATTCAATCAATGCCCCTGTTGCTGGACCAAGCCTTTGATTCAATCAATGCCCCTGTTGCTGGACCAAGCCTTGATTTGATTCTTGCTGGACTGAGCTTTGAATGCCCCTGTTGCTGGACCGAGCCTTGATTCAAGGAATGCCCCTGTTGCTGAACCAAGCCTTGATTCAAGGAATGCCCCTGTTGCTGAACCAAGCCTTGATTCAAGGAATGCCCCTGTTGCTGAACCAAGCCTTGATTCAAGCAATGCCCCTGTTGCTGAACCAAGCCTTGATTCAAGCAATGCCCTCTTGCTGGACTGAACTTTGATTCAAGGAATGCCCTTCTTGCTGGATCAAGCTTTGATTCAAGCAAAACCTCTCTTGCCAAACCAAGCTTTGCAACAAAAATTTTTCCTCTTGCCTGTCTGAGCTTTGATACAAGGAATGCCCCTGTTGCATTCTTTACAGTGTAAGCCACAGGTTCTCTCTGTTAGTGTTGAAGAAAAAGAAAATTGAATTCAAACTTTTCCTTCTCTTAGATTTTCTGCTTCCAAAGACTGGAGAATTCAACCTGACTTATTTAACCCATAGATAGGGGTAAAGGGAGGTCAAATGCATTAATGACTTTCAAGAGGGCATTAGTATGATGTGAGTGTAATAAACATGACTGGAATGTGAACTCAGCTCGTTGATTCCATTTCCTATTCCCATAACAATTATGCTACCTACACACTCAGTGGATGAGGAGAGGGGATTCCTGCAATTGATGGTATATAAGACTTAACTCCCTACCCCAATATCTATGATGTAGAGATACCTGATAGGCTTACTCAGTTGCTGCAAATTACAACCCACACAGACACTTATATAAAACGATATATATCCACATAAGAGTTGGCTGCTCATTTCTGAGTACACTTGTCTGCTAGGGTGGCTACCTAATCCCTGTTGCAGACACCTGCTTAGACACATTTTCTTTCTTCTTCAAAACACAGAGGCAACCTGTGGTTTACACTGTAACTACGCTGATCATACCTTAGTTACAGTTTCTGGGAGAGAGCACATAAACTGGTATGATCAGCAGTTAAACAAGTTTAGAAACATTATTTACATTATTCGGACTATTGTCATATTTATTACAACATTTCGGCTGTTGTATACTTCGGCCTTCTTCAGGTGGTTAGAATGTCAAACTGAACCCTTTATTTCGCTCACTAGGGTAGACTGTTCTAGTTCCATGTGCCATGTCTAATGGATGTCAGTTATCAGTTATCTCCTGTTAATCTCCCTCTGAAAGTTCTCCATTGCCTTAACCGGGTATTGAACTCACACTCTTTGGGTCCTGTCACTGGATCTAACTAACGCCTTTATCCACTGTGGCATGTGTCCTTCAGGGCATCTGTGTATGAATTTCTGGATATCATAAACTTAATGTCTTCAGCAACCATTTTTACCAGTGCTCATATTGCAAATTTTAATTGTTAAGTTCAACATTCCAACCACCTGAAGAAAGCCGAAGTGTATAACGGCCGAAATGTTGTAATAAATATGGCGACAAAGATGAGGACAATAGTCTGAATAATGTAAATAGTGTACATAATACCTCATCTCAGAAATATAGACAGATACTGAAAGGCCGAAACGTTGTAATAAACATGGCGACAAAGACGAGGACAATAGTCCGAATAATGTAAATAGTGTACATAATACCTCATCTCAGAAATATAGACAGATACTGAAAGGCCGAAACGTTGTAATAAATATGGCGACAAAGATGAGGACAATAGTCCGAATAATGTAAATAATGTACATAATACCTCATCTCAGAAATATAGACAGAAGTTTATAAACTCAGATGCTCAGTCATGATGTCTTGTGACTTTATAAGAACAACTATAGACTACTTCTAAACAATTCCATTTTCCTAATCTCACTTGCAAGTCTTGGCTCAACCTGTGAAATGGTTTTCCAAGCACTTACCAATGGGGCTGCATTTTGGAATAATACCCTCAGGTTAATATTATAAAGAAGTCACCTCCTTCACAACTAGACATATATGAGATTGAAATCTGTTTGCCAGTCATCCGGTTCACATTCTTCACTGGGCTTTTGAACAGGAGCAGAGGTTTATCCCTTGTTTCTTTTTTAGGATTAGATTTCTGGTTCTTCTTCAACTCTATATTTTAACATCTTTACCTAAATTCTGAAATTTATACTATTATAGGATTTCCAGATCCTTCTAAAATCTTTTCCTTCTCTTTCACTTTCAGTAGCCCCTTCTGTCTTGATGACTATCACCTTGCTCAAGGAAAATTGATTTAAAAAAAAACTGAGTGGAATGTCTCTTTGTGGGCAAGGAAAGCAACCTGGAGGATGGCGGAGTCTGGACCTGGCATAACCCCCCACAAACCCGTTTCTCATGATTGGAGTGCTTACATTCTAACCATTTAGTATGAGCCCATATGAGTAATCTATTCTTTAATAAATGTATTAAGCATATATGAAAATTTCCAGCATATTTTATTAAGACAGAAAAAAATGAACATAAGTGTGTTTTACTATGGCACCATTTTCTAGTTTTCAAAGAGATGGTGGTACATAGATATTTTGCATGTGCCTAAAAAGAATGGCATGTAGGGGGTGTGCTTATATGGTATCAAATACCATTTTTAGCTGTTTCTTGAGTTATGGTGTTTTTCTAAGCATAGCTTGGATGTGGCACAAGGCTGAAAGTAAGGGGCACCCAATGAGGAGTGAGATCACTACTCAGTCATAATTGTTCTAGCAAGATAACCTTGCTAACCATTTCACCACATCAAGGTGCCCATGTTTCTTGAGTTAGGATTGGAATTGATTCGAACTATTAATATTGGGCACAAAAATTGCCTAACTATTTACATTATTCGGACTATTGTCCTCATCTTTGTTGCCATATTTATTATAATGTTTCAGCTGTTGTATGCTTTGGCCTTCTTCAGGTGGTTGGAATGTCGAACTGAACCCTTTATTTTGCTCACTGGGGTAGACTGTTCTAGTTCCACGTGCCATGTTTAATGGATGTCAGTTATCAGTTATCTCCTGTTAATTCCCCTCTTAACCGGGTATTGAACTTACACTCTTTGGATCCTGTCACTGGATCTAACTAACACCTTTATCCACTGTGCCATGTGTCCTCAAGGAATGTGGAACTAGAACAGTCTACTGTAATGAGCGAAATAAAGGGTTCAGTTCAACATTCCAACCACCTGAAGAAGGCTGGAGTGTACAACAGCCGGAGTCTACAACAGCCGAAATGTAACAAATATGTTGACAAAGATGAGGACAATAGTCCGAATAATATAAATAGTGTACATAATACCTCATCTCAGAAATATAGACAAATACCAAAATTGCCTAATACAAATATATTTTTTATTTTTTCACTTATAAAAACAAAACAAAAATACATGTATTAAGATATAGATTTAAATCAATTCTTGGAGGATAGAGAAAAAAAAATGACTTTTATAAATTGGGTTTTCTGCAGTACATTTTCTTTCTCTTTAAGCTTCCCTCTAAAGAAGTAACTCCAGATGCACATGATTATGGTCTGAAGAGGATGTAAATAGACACCGAAATTTTAATGACTCTAAAAGTACTGGGTGACTAAATGATGGAAAAATTGAATGTAGCAAAGTGATTTCAGATTCTGAGGTTGCTGGTATTCATTTTAGATTTATTCTTTTGACAAAAATATGAAACCACTTGTAACTGGTCTCTGTCTAGTGATATCTTGACAAAATGTCTTGTCACTTGTATGTGACAATGGTTGACAAAGAAAAATGGGTGAGTGAATACTTCAGAAAGTCACTCTAATTTACCTACCCAGGGTAAAAGCTGTAACAGCAAAAGGGTGTGATGATCATAGTGAACATTGGTATGAGTCAATAATAAGGACATTTTACAGATGTTGCTTGCCAATTGAAATTCACAGATGTGCAAAAACAATGAAACCTTGTTGACACCCAAACATTGCATTCATAGAATAAGGCCGGAAAAGAGGCAATCTTTCCTGTTTTTCCTTTTCTTTCTTTTCCTTTTCCATTTCTTCCTTTTCCTTCTTTTCCTTTTCCTTTTCCTTCTTTTCCTTTTTCCTTTTCCTTCTTTTCCTTTTTCCTTTTCCTTCTTTTTTCTTTTCCTTTTCCTTCTTTTCCTTTTCCTTCTTTTCCTTTTTCCTTTTCCTTCTTTTTTCTTTTCCTTTTCCTTCTTTTTCTTTTCTTTTTCCTTTTTCTTTTCTTTTTCTTCCTATTTCTTTTTTCCTTCTTTTCCTTTTCCTTTTTTCTTTTCCTTTTCTTCCTTTTTCTTTTTCTTTTCTTTTTTCCTTTTCCTTTTTTCCTTTTCCTTTTCTTCCTTTTTCCTTTTCCTTCTTTTCCTTTTTCCTTTTCCTTCTTTTCCTTTTCTTCCTTTTTCTTTTTTCTTTTCCTTTTCTTCCTTTTTCCTTTTCCCTTTCCCTTTTACTTTTTTCTTTTACCTTTTTACTTTTACTTTTTTCTTTTTAACCTTTTGTCTTTTTTCTTTTTTTAACTTTTTCTTTTCTTTTTGCCTTTTTCTTTTTTACATTTTACTGTTTTTCTTGTTTTAAACTTTTTTACCTTTCTCTTTCTTATATTTTACTTTGTTTTTTCTTTCTTACTTTATTCTTTTTTTATAGTTTTTTTTAAAACTTTTTTCTTTTCTTCTTTCACATATTTTTTACTTTATATTCTTCTTGTTTTACTTTTTTCTTTCAAAAAATGGTGCAACTGTTGAGAAGTAATTGTCCTCTGCCTGTACAACTCTGATTTATCACCATAGTTCCTAAAAAAGATGTTTTGTTGAAAGGCCAACATTTGATGTTGAAGTTGCTATATACAACCGAAAACCAGAATAAAAATTTGAAAAATAAACTTATAATTTTGAAAAGAAATAAACTTGCTTCATTTTGATACCAATTTCATTATTCTATTTAATGTAAAACTTGTTTTATAAAAGTGGGGATCTTATCAACTGACACTTGTAATTCTGAACAGAAAGAAAACATATCTAGAAAATATATGCAATCAATATTAATTTACTTTAGTTAAGAAAGAGTACTGCCAAGCCTCAAACTTTCTGCTTTTTTTCTGTTGTGTTAGATCATTCCTAAAGTTCATGTTTGATTAGAAAATTAAAAATAAAATTTTATATACAGATAAAAACATCAATTAGTCAAGTACATAGTCACTATTGTTTTTAACAAATGTCTCCCGTCGATCTACAAGCTTTTTGATTCAATTTTTGTAGAAATTTTGTGATTTTTTTTGTTGGAAGAGGGTTGTGAAGTAGTTTTTGACTGACTGTACAAAGTTTTTGTCATTTAAATTATGCTGTAGAGACTAGAACAAATGAAAATCTGAAGGGGCTAAGTCAAGAAAATATGGTGGATGGTTTCCAATTTTAACTCCTTAAGCTTCTGCAAAGACTTACATTATCATAGGGGAAAATAACAACTTTTCAATTTGCTAAAATCAGCCATTTTTCTTGAACCCAAGTCCCTTCAAATGTCAAAAGGCAGCTGAGTTATTTCAAACTCTTAGCAATTTCTTCTGTGAAATATTTGGTTTATTCTCCATGATGGCAAGCAGAGCATCTTCATTGATATTAGAAGGTCACCTGGAGCATGGTTAATTGTTTAGCTTAAAATCTGTTGAGATGTTGTGAGGTTCCCGCGTGTTGGTGTATGAATCAAGACAAACACAGTTGTAGAGGAAAATACTGGTATATTCATAAAAGCAATTAACAATAGAGTGATTAGTAGAACGAAGGTTGGTTAGTAATGAAACATTATCCAAAGTCTATAGTCCAACGGTATGTACCGGTAAGCTTATCTGGACTGCTGACTCTCTCTCTGACGCTCTGTCACTCTCTCTCCAGAGCTGACTTATATAAGAGGGACCAGTCCATTACTAGTTAGAAGGTGGGTGCGCCCCAACAAAATCACCCTAACAAAATTTGCCAAACAACTTTTTGACCATCAAAGAACTGGAACATAATCCAAATAAACCTTCTGAATGTTTTTGTCACAATTTCAATGCTTACTCCTTTTTGAAATTCATAGAGTATAATATAGAAAAAGTGTAACTTTTAATCCTCCATCTTTAAGGCATTCATTTGTGGACAAAATGTCAATATTCAACAAAGTTTGACTTGCAACTGAACAGTGAAAGTTTTCAATCTAAAACACACCAGTAATCGGCACTGAAACAAACACACATTTTAAATTAACAATGAAAATCAGTCACAAAGTTTTGTAATGATCTGATAATTCCAGTGTTCTTAACTTTAAATGATGATTTAAGTTTTATGATAGTTGCTGAAAAATTCTCAGCCCAATCTGCTTCCCTCAAATCAGTATTTTTATGATTAAAAATTAGAATACTACCTTTTTTCATTTTTCTTTTTTCATTTATTCCTTTTTCTTTTTTCTTCAATTTCAGTTTTATTCCCTTTTCTTCTTTTTTCGCTTTTCATTTTTAATTTTTCTTCTTTTTTACTTTTATTCCTTTTCACTTTTCTTCTTTTTCATTTTTCTTCCTTTTTCTTCTTTTTTCACTTTTCACTTTTAATTTTTATTCTTTTTCACTTTTCTTTTTTTTTACTTTTATTCCTTTTCATTTTCCTTCCTTTTCAATTTTCTTCCGTTTCCATTTTCCTTCTATTTCAAATTTCTTCTCTTTCACTTGTCTTCCCTTTCATTTTTCTTCTTTTTCACTTTTTTCTTTTTCACTTTTCTTCTTTTTCATTTTTCTTCCTTTTCTTCTTTTTCATTTTTCTTCTTTTTCATTTTTCTTCCTTTTCACTTTTCTTCCTTTTCACTTTTCTTCCTTTTCACTTTTCTTCCTTTTCACTTTTCTTCCTTTTCACTTTTCTTCCTTTTCACTTTTCTTCCTTTTCAATTTTCTTCCTTTTCAATTTTCTTCCTTTTCACTTTTCTTCCTTTTCACTTTTCTTCCTTTTCAATTTTCTTCCTTTTCACTTTTCTTCCTTTTCATTTTTCTTCCTTTTCACTTTTCTTCCTTTTCACTTTTCTTCCTTTTCACTTTTCTTCCTTTTTCTTTTTCTTTTTCATTTTTCTTTGTTTTTTATTCATTTTTTTTCCCAGCTCTTTGTAAGAGAAAAATTTTACTTTAGATTCTTTACTATTTTAAATAATGTTTTTTTCATATTCTTCAGGTCTTACGAGATGATTTCAAATCAGAATTGAGTGGCCATTATGAAGACATCTGCTTGGCTCTTTTGGATCCACCTGATGTTTATGATTGCAAGGAATTGAATCGTGCAACCCAAGTAAGTTAAACTTTACTGGAAATGAAACCATAAATGTCTTTTAGTGCCAACTGCATTTAAACCTGCTATAATTTGACAATATTCCATCTTTTAGCAAAGACGTGTTATATATTGTAATGGATGAGGTTGTTGTTGACTAATTTGCAATAAGAGTTGACTGAATAAGGTGAAAATTTTCAACATAAATGACTTAAAGATTTTTCAAAAGAAATTGATTCAACTTGTGGAGGAATTTTATACACATGTTTATATGAAGAACAACATAATTTGGAAATGATTTTGCTATAAGAATGAGTTGGGAGTGATTTTGCCACAAGAATGCGTTGGAAGTGATTTTGCCACAAGAATGCGTTGGAATTGATTTTGCCACAAGAATGCGTTGGAAGTGATTTTGCCACAAGAATGTGTTGGAAATGATTTTGCCACAAGAATGAGTTGGGGGTGATTTTTGCACAAGAATGCATTGGGAGTGATTTTGCCACAAGAATGCGTTGGGAGTGATTTTGCCACAAGAATGAGTTCGTTAGTGATTTTGCCACAAGAATGCGTTGAAGTTTTTGCCACAAGAATGCGTTGGAAGTGAAAAGAATGAGTTCGTTAGTGATTTTGCCACAAGAATGCGTTAGATAACAAGAATGCGTTGGAATTTTGCCACAAGAATTTTGGAGTGATTTTGCCACAAGAATGCATTGGAAGTGATTTTGCCACAAGAATGAGTTCGTTATGATTTTACCACAAGAATGCATTGGAAGTGATTTTGCCACAAGAATGCGTTGGAAGTGATTTTGCCTCAAATGCGTTGGAAATGATTTTTGGAATGCATTGGGAATGATTTTTGCACAAGAATGCATTGGATTTTTGCCACAAGAATGCATTTTTGCCACAAGAATGAGTTTGATTTTTGCAAATTAGTTTGGATGATTTTGCCACAAGAATGCATTAGAAGTGATTTTGCCAATGCATTTAATGCGTTGAATGATTTTGCCACAAGAATGCGTTGGAGTGATTTTGCCACAAGAATGCGTTGGGATTTTTGCCACAAGAATGAGTTCGTTGGGTGTTGGAAGTGATTTTGCCACAAGAATGAAATGATTTTGCCACAAGAATGAGTTTAGAGTGATTTTGCCACAAGAATTAGTTTGGAGTGATTTTGCTACAAGAATTAGAAGTGATTTTGCCACAAGAATGCATTGGAAGTGATTTTGCCACAAGAATGCATTGGAAGTGATTTTGCCTCAAGAATGCGTTGGAAATGATTTTTCCACAAGAATGCATTGGGAGTGATTTTGCCACAAGAATGCGTTGGAAGTGATTTTGCCACAAGAATGAGTTTGTTTTTTGAAGAATGAGTTTGGAGTGATTTTGCCACAAGAATGCATTGGAAGTGATTTTGCCACAAGAATGCATTGGAAGAGATTTTGCCTCAAGAATGCGTTGGAAATGATTTTTGCACAAGAATGTTTTTTGGAATGCATTGGGAGTTTTTGCCACAAGAATGCGTTGGGGAGTGATTTTGCCACAAGAATGAGTTCGTTAGTGATTTTGCCACAAGAATGCGTTGGAAGTGATTTTGCCACAAGAATGCGTTGGAAGTGATTTTGCCACAAGAATGAGTTCGTTAGTGATTTTGCCACAAGAATGCGTTGGAAGTGATTTTGCCACAAGAATGCGTTGGAAGTGATTTTGCCACAAGAATGAGTTTGGAGTGATTTTGCCACAAGAATGCATTAGAAGTGATTTTGCCACAAGAATGCATTGGAAGTGATTTTGCCACAAGAATGCATTGGAAGTGATTTTGCCTCAAGAATGCGTTGGAAATGATTTTTGCACAAGAATGCGTTGGAAATGATTTTGCCACAAGAATGAGTTTGATTTTTGCCACAAGAATGAGTTTGGAGTGATTTTGCCACAAGAATGCATTAGAAGTGATTTTGCCACAAGAATGCATTGGAAGTGATTTTGCCACAAGAATGCATTGGAAGTGATTTTGCCTCACAAGAATGCATTTTTGCCAAGAGTGATTTTGCCACAAGAATGAGTTCAAGAATGATTTTGCCACAAGAATTTTTGCCACAAGAATGCGTTGGAAATTTTTGCCACAAGAATTTGCCACAAGAATTAGTTTGAGTGATTTTGCTACAAGAATTTTTGAAGTGATTTTGCCACAAGAATGCATTGGAAGATTTTGCCTAAGAATGCATTGTTTTTGGAATGCGTTGGAAATGATTTTTGCACAAGAATGAGTTTGATTTTTGCACAAGAATGCATTGGAAGTGATTTTTGCCACAAGAATGCCTTGGAAGTTGAATGAAATTTGATTTTTTGCCACAAGAATGAGTTTGGAGTGATTTTGCCACAAGAATGCATTGAAGTGATTTTGCCTCAAGAATGCGTTGGAAAATATTTTTTGCAATTAGAATGCATTGGGAATGATTTTTGCACAAGAATGCATTGAAGTGATTTTGCCACAAGAATGCGTTGGAAGTGATTTTGCCACAAGAATGAGTTTGGAGTGAAAGAATGAGTTTGGAGTGATTTTGCCACAAGAATGCATTGGAAGTGATTTTGCCACAAGAATGCATTGGAAGTGATTTTGCCTCAAGAATGCGTTGGAAAATATTTTTGCACCAGAATGCATTGGGAATGATTTTTGCACAAGAATGCATTGGAAGTGATTTTGCCACAAGAATGCGTTGGAAGTGATTTTGCCACAAGAATGAGTTTGGAGTGATTTTGCCACAAGAATGAGTTTGGAGTGATTTTGCCACAAGAATGCATTGGAAGTGATTTTGCCACAAGAATGCATTGGAAATGATTTTGCCTCAAGAATGATTTTTTGCACAGAATGAATGATTTTTTGCACAAGAATTTGGAAGTGATTTTGCCACAAGAATGCCTTGAAGTGATTTTGCCACAAGAATGAGTTTGGAGTGATTTTGCCACAAGAATGAGTTTGGAGGATTTTGCCACAAGAATGCATTTTGATTTTTGCCACAAGAATGCATTGAAGTGATTTTGCCTCAAGAATGCGTTGGAAAATGCATTTGGAATGATTTTGCACAAGAATGCATTTGCGTTGAAGTTTTTGCCACAAGAATGAGTTTGGAGGATTTTGCCACAAGAATGAGTTTGGAGTGATTTTTTGCCACAAGAATGCATTGAAGATTTTGCCACAAGAATGCATTGGAAGTGATTTTGCCTCAAGAATCCGTTGGAAATGATTTTGCCACAAGAATGCATTAGGAATGATTTTTGCCACAAGAATGCATTGGAAGTGATTTTGCCACAAGAATGAGTTTGGAGTGATTTTGCCATTAGTTTGGGTGATTTTGCCACAAGAATGCATTGAAGTGATTTTGCCACAAGAATGCATTGAAGTGATTTTGCAAGAATGCATTGGAAGTGATTTTTGCACAAGAATGCATTGGAAGTGATTTGCCTCAAGAATGCGTTGAAATGATTTTGCACAAGAATGCATTGGGAAAAGTGATTTTGCCAAAGAATGCGTTTGGAGTGATTTTGCCACAAGAATGAGTTTGGAGTGATTTTGCCACAAGAATGAGTTTGGAGTGATTTTGCCACAAGAATGCGTTGGAAGTGATTTTGATAAAAGAGTAACAGCGGCATTAGTCTTGTTTAAACATCTAAATGCATGAAATTACAAATTGGTGATTTGGAGGGATTGTTAATTGGATAATAATCATTAAAATTCTCAGGTGCATAGGTTGAATGGTTGAGAAGAAAACAAAAAATGAGGAGTGTTAAAATTTATCTTTTAAAATAATAAAATGAAATTAAGAACAGTTCCAAGGGAAATTGAACCCTGGTTTAACTCGACAAGATTCAGTAAAATTGAGAATAACCAAGATCCCCAACCTTATCTACTTCCTGTCAATAAGAAAAAAGCAAATAATATGGTATCCAATTTTCTTGGATCTGGAAAAACTGGAATTTGAATATTTTGTTTGCACTACTTTCTCTACAAAAATGTGTGTGATCACAGAAAATAATGATCTAAATTATTTTAGACAAAAAAACAAAACATTTGTCTTGTGTAAGGTCTGAAAATTTGTGATTTATTTATGTTGATTGCTCCACGTACCTAATTATCTTTGCAGAAAGATATCTAGGAAGTTTTGAAATAAACAAAGGATATACCATATATTTTTTTATTAACAAGATCACCTAAGATTAAGATGTTCCCTGGGTTACAAACTGAATAAAGCAATTTTGAATTTAATAATATGGCAGCTTGCACATGCATTCACTTTGATGATAGTGATCTGATTTATGCATGTTTGTATTTGTAACAAAAGCTGAAAGAAATTCAGTGTGGGTTCAGCATCCACACTCACTCTGATAATGCTCATGTATGTTTGTTACAAAAGCTGCAAAGAAAATCATATCAACATTGAAAGAGGAAAAGATTATTAATAGTGTGGGGTCTTCATCTACACTCAACATGATAATGATGATCTGATTTTTTGCTGCAAAGAAAATCATATCAACATTGAAAAATGAAAAGATTACTAGTAGTGTAAGGTCTGCATCCACACTCACCGTCATAATAATGATCCAATTTTTTTGTGTGTTTGTTTGTAGTAAAAGCTGAAAAGTAAGTCATATCAACATTGAAAAGAAATGAAAAGATTACTAATATTGTGGGGTCTGCATGCACACTCAGTGATAATAATGATCTAATTTTTGTGTGACAAAAGCTGAAAAGAAAATCATACCAATATTGAAAGAGGAGAAATGCAAAGATTATTAATAGTGTGGGGTTGACATTCACACTCAATGTGAAAATGATGATCTGATTTTTGTGTTGGTTACAAAAGCTGAAAAGAAAATCATATCAACATTGAAAAGAAACAAAAAGGTTATTAATAGTGTGGGGTCTGCATCCACACTTGGTGATATTACTGATCTTATTTTTGTGTGACAAAAGCTATAAGGAAAATCATATCAACAATGAAAGAGGAAAAGAAATGCAAAGATTACTAATAGTCCGGGGTCTATAACCTATCTTAAAAATTAAATTAGAAAAAGAGAATAGATTCTGTAATTGTTAGTACCTGAAATGTCTTTTTCTTGTTTTCTAAAGCGACTTGGAACAGATGAAAATACTTTGATTGAAATCCTCTTCACCCGATCCAGTGAGGCCATTAGCAAGATCAAGTCACAATATGAGACCTGTAAGTGTCTATATATATATTTATGTATATGTGTATATAACTCACTTAATCAATTACATAAGAAGTAAACATTTGAGGAATGATGAAAAGTTCTTTTGCTGACCAAGAAGCTATTCCTTTCTAAAAACTTGATCTTTGGTCAGATTTTAGGGTTTAGGTAGTGTAGTGGGCCATGTGTTTGTATGTTTTGTGAGATGAATGTGGGTATCTCCTAAAATAGGGCCCACAACAAATATATAAGGTTAAATTTTGTCTGTGTGTTCCCATCTTACATTCAGTCAGTCAGTTAAGTGACATACATGAGACACAGTTGAGTGATCATGACTCTTTCGATTCATGACTGAATAGACAGAACATTTTTCCACGGTAAGTTGCTATTTCTTTCTACAGTAGTTACCAATCAATAGAGTTGGTTGGTTTGGCAATTTATATTTCGGTATTGGTTTCCAGTTTTATTCCTTGATACTGCGGTTGTCGATTCAGTTTTTTGTTTTTTAATTTAGTATTTTTGCTTTCTAAGGAAGCCATTTATTTTCTTGTGTAATGATAGTATTTCTAGTTGATATCTGATTTCATTTGAGATCGATAAATTTGCAACTTAGCCCATTCAAGTTGCAAATTCTCATGTATTTCTGGTCCAATCTTAAAAATATATGAATGGAAAGAAAAAAAACCTTTCTAAATATATAATTTGTATATGCTTTCATTCATTTAATTATTGTTTTACAGCGAGTTAAAACAGTATTTTGATTGGAGCAGCTGTTCTTTTTTAGATTCATGTTTTAAAACTGAAATTAAAAACTATTTTAATCATTTTAATATTCTTACTTAAAGTGTATTCGCCAGATAAAACCATAAAGATATTTGTAAAACTAAAATGAATTAATTTTCCTTGTTTAGAGAAATTTTATAACAAACACCCACTGACCACTAGTGGCTAAAAAAAAAGAATATTTTTACTTTGTTTAAAAAAAATGATTTGCAGTTTTGTAAATATACACATCAAAACTGAGATTAAAACTTACTTAATTTTTTAATATGTTATTTTAGGTGTATTCGTTAGAGAAACAATTTTAGGTGTATTCGTTAGAGAAACAATTTTAGGTGTATTCGTTAGAGAAACAATTTTAGGTGTATTCGTTAGAGAAACAATTTTAGGTGTATTCGTTAGAGAAACAATTTTAGGTGTATTCGTTAAAAACAATTTTAGGTGTAGAAAACAAATACTTTTAGAGACTTGCATATCTGGAAATATACACATTTTAAAAGTGAAATTAAGAACTATTTTAATTATTCTTAATATCTAATTTAGGTGCATTCCCTAGGTAAAAAACAAATTTATTTATAATAAAAATAATTTTTCTTGTTTACAACAACTTTATTTCAGGATTGGTGTAACACTGACTTACTAGAAAACAATTATATGTATGACCCTTACAAAAAATCAGACTTCATAAGATTTAGCATTAATACAAAACTGGCAACAATAGTGTAGCTATTTCAACTTAAGTTGTAGCCTCTGAAACCAATTAATGATGAGGTATACCTGTATACACTTAAGAAAGGTATGAATCCACCTCTTCTCCCCCACAAGCTATGGGTTAGTTAGTAAAACTAACCCATAGCTGGTTTTAGTTTTACTAACTAACCCATAGCTATGGGGGATCACTTGTATCACTAAATCATTATTATTTACCCCACTCCCACCAAATTTGTACATTCTAAAAATATTTTCCGGTTTTAAATAACCTGAAAATGATTGATAAACTGTGAAAAATAAATAAATCAATCAATCAAATTAGACAAATGTAGCTGAAACAAAATTTTATAGAATTATCTAAGTCTGTCTATATTTCTGAGATGAGGTATTATGCACATTATTTACATTATTCAGACTATTGTCCTCATCTTTTGTCACCATATTTATTACAACGTTTCGGCCTTTCAGTATCTGTCTATATTTCTGAGATGAGGTATTATACATTATTTACATTATTTGGACTATTGTCCTCATCTTTGTTATTTTTATTACATTTCGGGTCTTTCAGTATCTGTCTATATTTCTGAGATGAGGTGTTACATCTTTTTCGCATTATTCGGACTATTGTCCTCATCTATGTCGTCATATTTATTACAATGTTTCGCCTTTCAGTATCTGTCTATATTTCTGAGATGAGGTATTATGTACATTATTTACATTATTCAGACTATTGTCCTCATCTTTTGTACATTTATTTTTGACCTTTCATATCTGTCTATTTTCTGAGATGAGGTATTATGTTATTTACATTATTCAGACTATTGTCCTCATCTTTGTCGCCATATTTATTACAATGTTTCGGCCTTTCAGTATCTGTCTATATTTCTGAGATGAGGTATTATGCTTTTTACATTATTCAGACTATTGTCCTCATCTTTGTCTATATTTTACTGAGATGAGAGATGAGGTATTATGTACATTATTTACATTATTCAGACTATTGTCCTCATCTTTGTCGTCATATTTATTACAACGTTTCGACCTTTCAGTATCTGTCTATATTTCTGAGATGAGGTATTATGCACATTATTTACATTATTCAGACTATTGTCCTCATCTTTGTCGCCATTTTACATTATTCTGTCTATATTTCTGGACTTATTTACATTATTCAGTCCTCATCTTTGTCGCCATATTTATTTCAGTATCTGTCAACTGAGATGAGGTTCGGCCTTTTTACATTATTCAGTATCTGTCTATATTTCTATATTTCTGAGATGAGGTGTTATGCACATTATTTACATTATTCAGACTATTGTCCTCATCTTTGTCACCATATTTATTACAACGTTTCAGTCTTTCAGTATCTGTCTATATTTCTGAGATGAGGTATTATGTACATTATTTACATTATTCAGACTATTGTCCTCATCTTTGTCGTCATATTTATTACTGTTTCGCCTTTCAGTATCTGTCTATATTTCTGAGATGATTATTATTACATTTACATTATTCAGACTATTGTCCTTTTTGTCATATTTATTACAATGTTTCATTTTCTGTCTATATTTCTGAGATGAGGTATTATGTACATTATTTACATTATTTGGACTATTGTCCTCATCTTTGTCGCCATATTTATTACAACGTTTCGGTCTTTCAGTATCTGTCTCTATTTCTGAGATGAGGTATTATATACATTATTTACATTATTTGGACTATTGTTCTCATCTTTGTCGTCATATTTATTACAACGTTTTCGGTCTTTCAGTATCTGTCTATATTTCTGAGATGAGGTATTTTACATTATTCAGACTATTGTCCTCATCTATGTCGTCATATTTATTACAATGTTTCAACCTTTCAGTATCTGTCTATATTTCTGAGATGAGGTATTATGTACATTATTTACATTATTCGGACTATTGTCCTCATCTTTGTCGCCATATTTATTACAACGTTTCGGTCTTTCAGTATCTGTCTATATTTCTGAGATGATCTTATCTATATTTAGATTTGGACTGTTCTCATCTTTGTCCTATTTATTACAACGTTTCGGTCTTTCAGTATCTGTCTATATTTCTGAGATGAGTTGTTATTATTGTCCTCATCTTTGTCGCATATTTTATTATTTCAGTCTTTCAATATCTGTCTATATTTCTGAGATGAGGTACTATGTACATTATTTACATTATTCAGACTATTGTCCTCATCTTTGTCGCCATATTTATTACAAAGTTTCGGCTGTTGTATGCTCCGGCCTTCTTCAGGTGGTTGGAATTTTGAACTGAACCTTTTATTTTGCTCACTGGGGTAGACTGTTCTAGTTCCACGTGCCATATTTGAATAATTGTCTAAATTATTCAAATTAATCTGTTTAATTACATTTTCTTAAAACTGTAGTGAATTGTTTAAACAAGTAAGACAATAGTGAGTATGCTGTATTATTAAGTATTTTATTATTATTAATAATATTAATAAGATATTTTTTTGTGTTTCTTTACCTCTATTTAGTTATGTCTAGAGTAAAAAATTCAAGATGACTTAGTATAAAGACAAAGAGAACTTTAGATGTTTTGCTGAAAATTTTGTTTATACAGAAATTTTAAAGAGCCAACAACTTCTATGGCATCTTTTTTCTGTTTGTAGAATAGGTACCTGGCTAGTATTCTAAATATGAGTTTCATATACAGGATTTTTAAGAGATTAAGAAGGCTAAGTGGTAAACATACCATTTCATTTTAATATATTATTTCATACTAAATGAGGTTTCACTAAATAAGGTGTTCCAGGATCGTGAGGACTTATGGTTAATATCCAAAGATTGAAGAGTTTTTATTCTACTGCAATCATAAATAAAAACATTGACTTGTAGACTTGTCAAACTTATAACAAGAATTTCAAATTTCAGTCATTCAGTCCCTACAGCATTCATAATAAGCATTATTGTCATCTGATATTTCGCATTACAACAAATTAGTCAAATTGAGCCCCCCAAAACTTTGTGGGATTATCTAAATAATTCAGATTATCTAAATAATTCAGATTAATCTGTTTAATTAGATTTCCTTAAAACTGTACAACATTTAAATAAGTAAAAAAACACTAAGTTTGCTGGGTTGATTATTATTAATAATAATAATAATAATAATAATATAACCATTAGAAATTCATTCAAATGTTTCCCTCATGGTTAGATCTATTTAGTTATGTCTACAGTAAGAAATTCATGGTCACTTAGTATAATGGCAAAGAGAACTTTAGAAAAAAATGTCTTGCTAAAAATGTTATTTGTACAGGAAATCTTTAAGAGGTAACAGAACTTCTATCACAACTTTTCCTTTTTGCCCAGGAAGGTTATTTGGTCAGTCTAAAAAATTCAAATTATCAGCAATTAATCCTATAATGCTAAAATTCAAGGGAGGTAATTCAAGTGGCTTTTTTTAATTTAAAGTATTTATTTCCCCTGAATATAACTTTTTAAACTTGGTGTTTTCCTTATAATCACTTTTCAAAGGTTGTATGAAGAATGATGAAAATTTCCCATTTGTTTTAACAATAAGAGTGATGAGAGCATTCTTAAAGAGAAAGTATACTTGGCAGAATCCTGAAATATATTTTCTGACCAATCAAAGTACACAGCTTATCTAAATATATATATATCTCTAAATCATACTTATTATAAAACCCAGGTTGTGTGTGTGTGTCTGTACGTTTATATATTGGATCAGATTTCCTAGATTTTTTAACTGATTTCAACAAAACTTCACAGGACTACGAAAAATTACCTTGTAGTGGTTCTGACAGCACCAAAAATTGGAAAAACAATTGTTTTTGCATGAAATCAATTTGAAAAGACGATTAAGAGGCATCACTGTTGCGAGAATGAAAGGGGGACAACTCATATCGAGTTATACTTATAAAACCCAGGTTGTGTGTGTGTGTGTGTGTGTGTGTTCATTTATATATGGGATCAGATTTCCTACATTTTTCAACTGATTTCAACAAAACTTCACTTTTTGGGGGGCAGGTAGTGTTTCTTATTGCCTTGCACACTTTTTTCTTTATTTTTACATTCAGAATGCTTTAAAAATTCCATTTACAAGACAATTGTTTATAATAAAATTCTATTCAATTGGTAGACTCATAACGATTGAAAACAATGTTGTTGTTTGGGTTTGACCAATTCGTAAAAAAAAAAAAAACTAATTAAGACATGCGTGTCCGTCAACCATAAACAATAATCTTTGTCAATTTTATTTTTCAGTCTTTATGATGATCGATACTTGATCTATCTCTTACTGTTACATCTCCGGGCAACGCCAGGCTCTACTGCTAGTATTTTATAACCTTAACCCTACCATATTATTATATAACCGTAATGTTTGTGAAGAAAAAACTTTAAAACTTTGTATGAATTGAGATTTGCTAAAATTAACAAATTAGATAGATTCAAATTATTGCAGACAAATTATTAGAAAATATTCCATTAATTAATCAGTTTCAGACGGGATAAGAACCTCTTTTAATTAAAAATTATTAAGATACAATATACATACTTAATATTTAATTCACTTTTAATTTGTGGAGAAAGATAAAATTGATACCACATTTAAAACCTATATCAAATTATTCATCTGCAAAGATTTTAAGATGATTTTTAAGCACAGCTTAGATATGGCACAAGGCCAAAAGTATGGAGCACCCAGTGAGGATCAAACTCCCTATTCAGTTGCAATTGTTCTAGCAAGACAAGCTTGATAACCATTACACCAAGTTTCAAGTGCCCAAGTTTCAGCTTTTAAACATTATTAATTTATTAGATATTTTATACTTATCAAATAACACATTTTAGAATGGATCCTAGCATTTTTCTGTTAAATATTTATGCACATTTTGTGTCTAACATTATATCACGTGCCAGGTACAAATTAACGACAACACATGAAGTAAGCAGTCTGTGTGATAGTCTGAGTCCACAGTTGAAGTAACAGTCAGAGTAACAGTTCAGTTGAAGTAATAAGAAGAGTCATTAAGAAATCTTTTTATTTCTAGTTTATTTCCTGTCACATGAAAACTGGAAAGGAAATAACAATTTTTCTATATCATTTTAACTCAGTATCTGTCTATATTTCTGAGATGAGGTATTATGTATACTATTTACATTATCCGGACTATTGTCCACATCTTTGTCCACATCTTTGTCGCCATATTTATTACAACGTTTCGGCCTTCATAATTTTTCATTCTGTGGGTTGGAGTTGTTTTGAGGATCAAGCTAAACAAACTTTGATTTAAAATTTATAATTTCTTGGGGTGAATTAATATCTGTGATAAGTAACTTTACATTATCTGGGGTGAATTAATATCTGTGATAAGTAACTACATTATCTGGGGTGAATTAACAGATCCAAAATTTATACTATATAATTTTTTTTTTATTATAAAAATAAGTTTTCTAGCAATGGTCACCATCAAGTAGAATTAAAATTAAAAGGGAGACAACCAACAAGGGAGATAAACTTGCATTTCCATAAAATTCATAAAAATCAAATCAAATCCTTAAGATATAAAATTCATTAAAAAATTTCCCAAAAATTTCCATAAAATACATGAAAATTTTATAAATCTGTTCATTTTGACAGAAATGTCTGTACTTTTGGCTAAATGCACAGTATTTTCAATTTGTTTTAGTATATGGGAAGACACTTGACATGGTTCTAGCTGATGAGACAAGTGGAGATTTGCTGGAATTATTACAGTGTCAGCTTAATGGAGAAAGAGATACAAATATCAAAGTGAACAGGGAATTGGCCAGACAAGATGCACAGGAACTTTATGCGGTAAGAATTATAAATTTCTAAAGAAGCTGTGGATTTGTGGTTTCTTGTTAAGAGGGATTAATTAAATATTAAGAGGATAATATTAGGGTTATCAGATTTCTTAAGGATTAATTAAATATTAAGAGGATAATATTAGGGTTACCAGATTTGTTAAGAAGGATTAATTAAATATTAAGAGGATAATATTAGGGTTACCAGATTTGTTAAGAAGGATTAATTAAATATTAAGAGGATAATATTAGGGTTGCTAAGTTTGTTTATTAGGATAGTTACCAAATATATAATGAGCTGAGGGTTTTAATTGGAAAAAAAAGCCATTAGCTTTTAAGTGCTTTGCATGTATGTTGAATTAAGACTTTTGAGTATTTGTAGTTGGATGGCAAAAACAAAAAAAAAGCAAGTTACATCAACATATAACAAATTTATTCATCTACATACATGATGTTTTTTAGATTTTTAAAGACGTGGAATGATGAGAAAAGTATTGAAGTGTGTCAATGTTCCTTTCTTTTGTGTATAAAGAAAGAAAATATATTTTTGTATTAATTTGACTTGTAAGCTTAAAGTCCCTGAAATTAGCTACATTTCAAACTAGGTTGCATTGATTTGTAAATAATAAAAAGAAGAGTACAATAAAAGTTGAATAGAAAAAGTTCTTTCTTCCTGTTCTCAGCTATAATTTCAAATCATTTTCTCATATATCTGTTTTCTCGTTCCCAAAGCATTTAATAACGAATTATGATTAGAACTGAATTCACATAAGAATGAAATGTGAAATTCTAATGTTTTGTTTGATAAAACAAATCACATCCAAAAATAGTGTGTACAGCAGAGTAATAACAATTAATAAAAGATGAATTCATGCCTTTCCGAAGGTCATTTGTGAAAATTTGAACAGGGTTTTTTTTTTTACTTTCCAACTCAATATCCAAGTTACCAACACATCTAAGAGCCAGATTATTTTTTAGGTGAGTATAAGCTGCAGCCTAGGGCTCCTCAAGCTTTTATAAAGTAACGAGCAGGCTTTATCCACTTGCTATCTGGTAATTTTTCGAGGAAAAATTAGTTGTTTTTCTATGTGATTAATGTTCACTATTTATGAAATGTTGAAGTGGTTGTGGATGCTTAGTATATAACTGTAAAAACAGAAGAAATTAATTGGTCAGGTGTGGGGGGGGCATGCTTGTTATAGTTAAGGAAAGTTTTACAAATAGATGCCAACTTGTTGAGGGCTAAGGAAAATGCAAATTTCAAACACTTTATAAGACAATATTCCTAAACAGAACTATTTTTGATATGAAAATCAAAACAATCCTCGAATAAAAGAACAGTAACGAAGGACAGTTAATTAATGAAATATACTTTTTTTAAAATCAATATGCAAATTAATTAAACCTGAAAAGTGATATCGCCTAGAAGTAGATAGTATATAACTCAGATATTGAGCTTTTTTTGTGTAAATTACTATAAGTAATTTATACTCTTTATTTATCACCTCTCAGTTGTGTCTATGTCCTTGGACATAGTGCGGTCAAGGGCTTCTCTGTCAAAGGACAGAGGGGCAACTGAGGAAAATTATACTGAGAGGTGCATGTTCCGGCAACAATCTTTCTTTTATACATGTTTCATTGAATATGACAAACAAGGAAATATTTTTATCTAGTTTTTTTTTTCAAGGGGTACATTTTTAGTATATTTTTCTGTGTTTATATTCTAAGAGGTATTGTATGGAAGTAGTAGTAATTCTAAGTTGTGTTGGATGGCATGGAATTATTTTTAGTTCCATCCAGCACAACTTAGAATTACTACTATTTCTGGGAAACAGCTGCCCGAGGCTGCCCCCCCCCCCCATTGCACAAGGAGGGATCGGTGCTTGCACCGAGGCCAGCGCAACCGACGGTTGCAGGGTCTGAGGGGAATTTTTGACCCTGCTCAGGTGCATGCGCTTGGGTCCCCACATTAAAATGACCTTGTGTCACATCTCGTCCTAGATGGGGGAATGAGTAAACACTGTGTAAATTACTATAAAGTAGAGTTAGGGGCTTTTAACCCCAGAATTCACGGGAGAACTGTGGTCCAATTTTGCATTTATTCCTATGGATGATTTTAATTTTTTAGATATTGTAACTTCTAAACGGTTTCATAAATTGAAATGATATCAATATGACAAACTTATATTTACTTTCTTTTATTGTTATAATGTTTGCTATATAATATCTGTTTTCTTTTTACTACAGTTGTTTTGAAATATGTGATAATTTGGTTTGCAATAAATAGTAAAATAATGGTATTTCTTAAAGAATATTTTTATTGACAAACAAAAGATTGCTATTCTAGTTTATTTAAAGAATTTGCAATAAGTTTATTTCAAGCTATGTAAATGCCACTAAAATATATCACAAGTAAAAATATATTCAAGATAGCTCCATTCGTGTTAGAAGGTGGCACCATCTAGGGTCTAGGGATCCCAAAAGGTCATAAATCAGCCCTGACTACATGTCTACTCCTACCTGTCATGTAAACAAATAATATAGTAATTTGAATATTGTATGTTCCGGCAACAATCTTTCTTTTATACATGTTTCATTGAATGTGACAGACAAGGAAATATTTTTATCTAGTTTTTTTAAGGGGGCTAAATGTGTGTAGAAACTGTCCATCATGATTAGTGTCCCAAGTGCTGTAAGCAATTTTCAAGGGGTACATTTTTAGTATATTTTTCTGTGTTTATATTCTAAGAGGTATTGTATGGAAGTAGTAGTAATTCTAAGTTGTGTTGGATAGCATAGAATTATTTTTAGTTCCATCCAGCACAACTTAGAATCTTACTTATTATAAAATGCAGATTGTGTGTGTGTGTGTCTGTACGTTTATATATTGGATCAGATTTCCTACATTTTTCAACCGATTTCAACAAAACTTCATAGGGCTGCATAAAATTACCTTGTGGTGGTTCTGACAGTGCTAAAAATTGGAAAATCAATTGTTTTTGCATGAAATCAATTTGAAAACATGATAAAACACGATTCTGTCGACAGAATGAAAGGGGGACAACTCATATCGAGTTATACTTATTATAAAACCCAGGTTGTTTGTGTGTGTGTGTGTGTGTTCGTTTATATATGGGATCGGATTTCCTACATTTTTCAACCGATTTCAACAAAACTTCACTTTTTTTTGGCAGGTAGTGTTTCTTATTGTCTTGCACACTTTTTTCTTTATTTTTACATTCAGAATGCTTTAAAAATTCCATTTACAAGACAATTGTTTATAATAAAATTCTATTCAATCGATAGACTCATAACGATTGAAAACAATGTTTTTGTTTGGGTTTGACCAATTCATAAAAAAAAAAAAACTAGTTAAGACATGCATGTCCGTCAACCTTAAACAATAATCTTTGTCAATTTTATTTTTCAGTCTTTATGATGGTCGATACTTGATCTATCTCTTACTGTTACATCCCTGGGCAATGCCGGGCTCTACTGCTAGTTACTACTATTTCTACACAATACCTCTTAGAATGTAAACACAGAAAAATAGAGTAAAAATGAACCCCTTGAAAATGGCTTATGAACTGGCCGAAAGCACTTGAGATAATAATCACTATGGACAGCTTCTACAATCACGTAGATCATATAAAAGAAAAGCTGTAAGAATTGAATAAAAAATCTTTTAAAATCTTGTCCATCTTATTCAGTGAAATGTGTATAAAATATTGTGTATAGAAATAAAATCAGACATATTAAAAGAACATTCATGACAAAAAAGTGGGGTAACAAAAAATATATATTACTGTAAATTGGTATTAACAAAGTATATTGATTAAAAACAGTTAAACTGGTTTATTGGGTCTCTTTTATCAGAGCAAAAATCAATGACAAAAACGAAATAGAAATCAAACAAGAAATCCTGTAGTGAAATAAATAGACTTTACGTCATTGCTATTTGGTTACCATAGGTAAAAGTTTCCCAGGTTTTGGGATATAAGTTCAAATCTTGAAGGTTGGGATATAAGTTTAAATCTTGAAGGTTGCTTTATTTCTGACGGCAACAGTTTATAAAATATGGCAATAAAAATCAACAAAATTAACATAGAAATAAACTAGTCAAAAATCAATAATGCTTCAGCTAAGAAATCAATAATGCTTCAGCTAAGAAATCAATAATGCTTCAGCTAAGAAATTTTAGACAACTTAAATGTCACAGTAATTTCTAATAATTTAGAGAATGTCATAGACCAATATTTCATAGCATTTTGGAATCAGGCTGAGTCCATGGGCAAATTAAAAACATTCCAGGCTGGATCCCGACCTGCAATTCTGAAATTTTGAATTCCCAAGTTTTTCATTACTACAGTTGTTTTTGGTGATTTTTTTTTTTTTTTTTTGATTTTTAGCAACAAATTTTTTATACGATAACAATTTTTATAACTTGAAAATAAATTCGGGTTTAATCAAAATTAGTTGTGAAATCCAGTGAAAGTCACCCATGAAATAAAAATAATTGTTTGTATGGAAAGTAAGGACCTATGTACATCAAATTGCCTTTAAATTAAGTGGCGGCAGAAGAATTATCATTGAACTTTTAAAAGGTAAGCTTAAATATGAATGCTATACTTAAATGCAGTGATCAATTTTGTGTTCTGTAGTTTATTGTTGCCTATCGCATCTACTTGTCTCTACCTATTGTGATGAAGGCCCAATCAAGAGCACTCTACAGGAGCTAGCTTTAAATGCTGCCTAATAGGGTGGCTTTTAAGCTAGTTTCTAATAATTTACTGAATGTTATTGTCTGCTATACATGCAAGTATCTTCCAGCATTATTTCTGCTTTTAGCACTTAGAAAATTATCTAAGAAATTTCTTTTAATACATTTTAGGCAGGAGTTGGACAACTGAAACAATATTATGTAAGATATTTTTTTTTAATACATTTTAAGCAGAAGAAGATTGTATTAAAACAAATGAAGCCAGATTATGTAAGACATTTCTGTTAATACTTTTTAAACAGAAGAAGGTTGTATTAGAAGCTAAAAGAATATTATGTGAGAAATTTCTATTAATACTTTTTTGACAGAAGAAGGTTGTATTAGAAGCTAAAAGAATATTATGTGAGAAATATCTTTTAATACTTTTTTGACAGAAGAAGGTTGTATTAGAAGCTAAAAGAATATTATGTGAGAAATTTCTATTAATACTTTTTTGACAGAAGAAGGTTGTATTAGAAGCTAAAAGAATATTATGTGAGAAATTTCTATTAATACTTTTTTGACAGAAGACGGTTGTATTAGAAGCTAAAAGAATATTATGTGAGAAATTTCTTTTAATACTTTTTAGGCTGGAGAAGGTCGTATTGGGACAAGTGAAAGAAGATTCAACAATATACTCTGCAGTCGAAATTTTTATCATCTACGTGAGATGTGTGTTCAATATAACGAGATTGCAGGACATGATATTGAAGAAGCCATTGAAAGTGAAACTAGTGGCTGCCTTTGTGATGCTTACAAGGCCATTGGTGAGAAAACTTTGTTCATATTTATTCATTTATTTTTTTTAACACATTTTAACCAATGTTTTGGGGTTTGCATTTTTCAGTTCTTATCCTTTCACAAGTGATAATTAAAAATGCTGTTCTTTCAAATAAGAATTGTATTGGTCAAAAAAATCATGCCATTTTTGTCAAAAGATAAATGGCTTAAGAAATACTTTGAATGCTCTTACCTGTTCTTGTGTGTGTTTTATGTATTCAGTTAGTCATTTAAGTGTCATATATGATATGTGCTTGGGTGGTCATGTTTCTTTTGATTCATGACTAACTAGGCAGAAGATTTTTGCTGCAGTTGGCTGCTGTTTCCTTCTGGAGTAGACTGGTTGCCAACAAAGGCTATAGTGTCCAGTCATTCCTTCTATTTAACCCATAGCTGTGGAGAGAAGAGGTGGATTCCCAAGGGTATTTGCATGTAAGTGAATATAATGAACCTGACTGGAATTCAAACTCAGCTCCCTTGATTTCTCATTCTGAGCCATTATCCATTATACCACAGAACATACCCATTTTTAGCTTGAAAAGTCTAGGGACAAAAGATCTTAACTTGTTCTGAATCCTCATCAGCAGATCTGAGGTAATCCACTTTTTTATTTTTATCCTGAGTTACTGCGGTTAATTTTTTTTTTATCCACTTTTTTTTTTATTAGAGTTCACTAAATTCCATATCGAATCAATGAATCTTTTAAGGCCGACAAAGAATGCAGTAGTTATTAGAGACAAGTTTTAGTATCCATCCCAATAATGATTTAAAAAAATAGGATTTGACTTGAGAACTCTTGTTTCTGTTAATGCTTGTATTTTTCTTTCAGTGCGTATGGCCAAGAGTATGCCTGGCTATTTTGCCTATCGTGCTCACAAAAGCATGAAAGGTCTTGGGACAAAAGATCTTAACCTTATCCGAATCCTCATCAGCAGATCTGAGGTAATCCACATTTTCATTTTTATCCCGAGTTACTATAGTTAATTTTGTATTATTTATTCACTTTTTTTTTTACTAGTGTTCACTAAATGCCATATCAGATCAATTGGTAGGTCTACTGCTAAAAAAAATTGGTTCATTATACCGTACCAGACAATTTCTCTTGCCAGAATGCATCTTGTACATTTATAAGTTGACTATTTGTCATATGCATTGAATATTGTTGCCATGTCTGATCTGGTGCTTCTGATATGTATTTAGAGATTCTTGCCAAAATCCAAAGAATCTGCAATGTTATTGGTTCTGACCTGGTATCTCAGCTTCAATTACTTTCCCACTAGCATAACATAGCTTCCCTGTGGCTTTGCTATAAATATTTTCTTGGCTATTGTTCTGATGACTTTTCCTCATTGGTACCCTGACTTCATGAAGGATACAAGAATAATCCAGAACCTATACTGGAAGCAAAGCATGAATTCAGTAAATATACAAAAAATAGAGGTGTAAGACAAGGAGGTGTCTTCTCACCAGACTTATTTAACCTATTCAATGATGTGGTTCTGAAAAAATTCCTACCAGGATTAATTATTGGTGGTCACAATCTTAACAACATAAGATATTCAGATAACACAATGTTGATAGTAGACACAAAAAGGAAAATACAGGAGCTCCTACAGAAGATAGTAAAGGAAAGCAAGAAGAAAGGACTAACTATCAGTTGTAAGAAGTTTGGTTGTCAGCAAAAGAAACAGCCTAATATGTAAATTACAAATTGAAGCTACCAAAATCAAGCAAGTACAAAAATTTAAATACCTAGGAAATGTTTTAACAGTGGACTGAAAATATGACACTGAAATTCAAAGGTGCATCAGGATAGTGAAAGATACCTTCCAAAAACTAAGTAAAGTACTAAGAAACAGGAAAATCCCATTAGAAACAAAGAAAAGAGTATTGAACTGTTATGTGATATCAGTACTCCTATATTACAGTGAATACTGGATAATTTCCTCACAGATGACAACAGAAATATGTTTCTACAGAAGGATACTGAGAATGCTATGGATTGGACATGTGAGCAATAACAAAGTTTGAGAGAAAACAGAAATAAAAAGGGCAAAAATTAGAAAGAGATAATTGAAATTTTTAGGGCATTTGATTAGGAAAGAGGACTTAGAAAATTTGACACTCCCAGCATAGATTGAAGGCAAGAGGGACAGATGAAAGCAGTGCATATCAAGCTTGTGTAAATGGTTAGGTAGAACATAGATAGCAAAAGGATAAAATTTATTTTAGAGCTACAAAGGACAGAAAATTGTAGCAAGCCATGATCACCCATGTCCTGAAGAGACATTGTACAAAGAAGAAGAAGAAGAAGTGATTCTGATTGTCAACGGCCACCGTGAATGTAGTCCTATGTCCTGTGTTGGTCTTCATGTTCCTTCAGACCACCGTGGTTGACATCTAGTTGACTCCTCACTCGTTAAAACACAACTCGTTTGTTGCTGGTATCATGATAATAGGCATGATTACATTTGACTCATTTGACTGAAGTGAAAGTAGTTCGACGGCTGACAGCTACACAAAAAAAGAATCCATTGGAATAAAGAATTAACTTAGGTTAAAAATGTAACAACGATTTGGTTTATATATGATTTGTTGTATACAACGGTTTTAACCCTTCCCATTTACTGTTATAATCAAATGACATTGGAATCCCCTTTGGAGTCTACAGTATGTTTTAGTAGTAACTTAAATTTTTAAGTTCTGATCTTCAGGACTGGTACAATATCTTGGTCAGGAGGTCTCCGGGAATGATGTGAATTCCATAAGCAGTAGTGTGGGGATTTGCTACAAGTTGTCCAAAACTTCAGTTTATATGGAGTCCTGCATCAAGCAGGGTGGGATTGACTAGGTTCTGTGTTCTGTTGTATCCTACCCTTAACATCAGACTTTTTCTAAAATTCCATATTCTCAAAATACATTTACTCAAGAGGTTTTCCAAATTTGGGGTTGTCCTTTTGAGAGTAGTCAGTGGACTCAAGCTGCCCCTTAACTCCAACTCCCTTCACATCTCGCCTCACACCATCGCTTCATATAGGTGGTGCTAATCTCTCACTTTCTCAGCAGCTAACCTCAGCCCTAAGGCTGGTGTGACGAATCCAACTTCCAGATGGCATTGTGAAAACAAAAGGAATTTTCAGTCATTAATCAGCTTGTCCCATCCTGTGATTTCTTGATTGACCAGCTCACTCAAGAATTGGGGAAGAAAAGGAAAGAAAATTATTCCCATTTTTTCTAGTGATAAAGACAAATGTTTATCTTTTCTCTGTTTATATGTTTTTATGATTAACAGACCACACAGCCTTTTTGTCCATGGTCACTCCAAAATAGTAATTAATGTTTCTTTATCACTTGTATCCAAAGGAATCTGAATTAATGTTTGGATATAAAAATTTTTCTTCTGGGCGAATGTTACAGAAATTATAATGAGCATGTCGAGTGGGCCACTATCTGTGTGGGGACACTTCTCTCTGGATGGCTGATTCAAACTAAATATTTCTTTTCCTGGCTTTTTTGTTCTGAGCGGTCTTTAAATGTCATTACAGTGACTACCCTGGCTTTTTAGTGACAACATATTTTTTTTATCTGACATGGATACATTAGTGATCTCTTTCTCATTGGCGGGAAATGGGGAATGATGGATAGTCTTGGTTTTGCTCAATCTTACTGAATTCTGTCTTGTTAAATTTGGGTTTGATTCTCTTTGGAATTATTTTAAAACATGATTCCTCAATGCTTTTCATTTTTAATTTTCTTCTCAACTTTTCAATCCATCTTCCTGCAAATTTTAACAATTACCATTCAGCTAGTAGAGTCTTTCCTCTTCCTTATTTTGTTCTCTCTCTTTTTTTTGTTTTAACTTCCAGAGATCCCAGTGTCACATCATGTCAAATGGAAATGAGAGCTCAAGAAAGCACATTTTGTTTCTTTCTTTGAGTTTAGCATTATCCATACTGATGGCAGTGAGGAAAGGTTCTCTATGGTGATTAAGCAGTTTCTCTTTTGGAGGCATTAAAATTTACAAGGACACATGGCACAGTGGATAAAGGCGTTGGTTAGTGACAGGACCCAAAGTGTGTAAGTGTGTAAGTTCAATACCCGGTTAAGGCAGTGGAGAACTTGCAGAGGGGAATTAACAGGAGATAATTGACATCCATTAAACATGGTACATAGAACAGTTCACTCCAGTGCATGAAATAATGGGTTCAGTTCGGCATTCCAACTACCTGAAGAAGGCTGGAGCGTACAACAACCGAAATGTTGTAATAAATATGGTGACAAAGATGAGGACAATAGTCTGAATAATGTAAATAGTGTACATAATACCTCATCTCAGAAATATAGATAGATACTAAAGTTTACAAGTTCTTTGCCCCAGTTAACCACTGATTTGAGGTCTTTTTCGATAGCTGATGCCAGGTGTATTTTGTCAGGTCTGTTGGACTTGCTACTGAAAAAAAAGTAATTAGTTGTGTCATTTGCATAAATACCTTGTTGGCAGCTGATGACATCGGGAAGGTCACTGATGAAGATCAGAAACAGTGTAGGTCCAAGGATAAAACCTTGGAGGACCTCCACGTTAGTATAAAAGAATATTCAACATGACTTTCATTAAATGATTTGTTAAGAACACTTGGATTAAACCCAATATTTGCCCAAAGAAACCATAGCCCTTGAGCTTGTAGAGAGGGCCAGTATGTCAAATCCTGTCAAATTGAGATATCTAGAGCCACAACCCAACCGTTTTTTTTTTCGACATTTTCTTCCCAACTTTTCAATCAATCTTCCTATGAATTTAAAAAAGTACCATCCAGTAAGTAGACTCTTTCTTCTTTCTTTCCTCCTTTCTTTGAACAAACCTCTGGAGATCCCAGTGTCACAATATTCATCTATTTTTAGAGATGGTAAAATTTGGGTCTCCTTGTTATTATCTGTTTATTTTTTTAAATTTTTCTATCACTACAATCATTCTGACATCTGACAGTGAGGCCTCTGATCAGGAGATTTTGAAGAGTGTGGAACCACCTCTTAATTGCTGATGTTCCCAGGTTAACCTTGACCCCAGGTGGTAGCATCTGTTAGGGTCCCAACTATGCATAAATAGTTAACCCCCAAACTGGGGTCAAAACACTATGGAAGTGTAAAAATAGATTTTTATAGTAAAAATACATTTTTGAAAAAAAAAATATTACTAGCAATACATTTGCCTCTTGACAAAACCCCTCTTTACAAAAATACATCAGTGAAACCTGATCTACAAACTGATTTCTTTCAAATACATATTCTATTCATACAAATCTATTCTAAAAATCTTGTCGGCATTAAATAACCCATTTAGGTTGATATGCCGTAAAACAAAATAATCCAAATGTATCACTACAATAGATTAACTCAGTGATGAGAATGAACAATCATTTGGATAATTTCTACACACAAAACTCTTGTTTGCATACAAGAAAAATATAATAAACAAAGATTTTAATAGAATTACTTTGTCAGTCATTTTGAAACATGTATTAAAGAGGGATTGTTGCCCAAATACGCAATAATTAAATTCCTTCAATTTTATGCAAATATTGTTTTTAAGTTCTGGTTTCTTTTTCCTATCAGCTCCAGCTACGTCTGTTCAGGTGCAGGTTTTGTGTTTTGAAATAAATCACAATTTTTTTTTTTTCAGATTGATATGGTGCAAGTGCGGGAAGAATATGAGAAACAAGAAGAGACAACCCTTGCTGATGCAATCTGCTCTGAAACTATGGGAGATTATGAAGAAGTCTTGTTGGCCTTGATTGGACATCGAATGGGATAATAAGAGTTTTACGTCAAAATCATTTCTTTTCATCATTTTGCTGGAAAAAAATTCTATGGGTCTTGGAAAAAAACAAATTTTCCCTGAATTTTTTTTTGGAAAACATCTTAGATTTATTGAATATCTGCACGTACTTATTGCCTTTCCATGCTTAGTAATTTGTTCAGAATTAGTGCCTTGTTTTTCTCTTTTATAATTTGGTTTAACTCAGTTCCCAGTTGTGCTATAGAACTGCGATAACAGGAAACTTCCATTCCCCTTTGAGCAATGATTTTCTGTTAAATGATTTATTGTAATAAAAATTAAGAGAAAAAGAAATTTTTTTTTTTAAAAGGATGAAAACCTATTGTTTTCATTGGCGCCATAGAACTGCAATGACATGGAATCCTATCATTGACATTAGTGTCATAGAACTGCAATGACAAACATTTCTGTCAATGATTTAGTATAATAAATTTCAGTGAAAAATGAATTGAGATTTTTATTGAATGAAAAAGAATTTTGAAAGAATAAAAAGAGGTTTGTGGTGGTGGTTTTATACTACAACTACTACTAATACTACTATCCTCACTGGGTGCCCCCTCTCCTGTCGGCCTTGTGCCACATTTAAGCTACGCTTGGAAAATCATTACTACTACTACTACTACTAGTAATAATTATAATAATAATACTTTATAATAATAATATTATAATAATAACAGGATATAATAATAATAATAATAATATAATAAGACAATATGATAGTAATATTATTATAATAATATAACAATAGGATAAAATAATATAATGATAATAATATAATAATAACAGGATATAATAATATAATATTATTATAATATAGTAATATCATAATAATATAATATGATTGTAATAGTAATAATATTATAATAATAGAATTAAATAATAATAATAATAAAAAATTACAAAAAATAAAAAACACTAACCAATACAAAGACTTGGAGATGGAAATAGAAAAAGTGTGACATTTAAAAACTAAAACTGTTCCTGTTGTGGTTGGAGCTTTGGGTCTGATAAAATAAGGAGCTCAACAACAAATCAGCAAAATCCCTGTTACACCATCTCGACAGGAATTCAAAAAAATAGTTCCAGCATGTGTAGCCTATATCCTGTGAAGAGCATTATCCATTTCATTTTTTTTTTTGTTAATAGTTGTCTCTTTGCTTAATTAAATGGAAACAACAAAAATTCACATCCTTCGATTGCCCTAGGTCATTGGCTATGGCCTGGCATATGAAAAGAAATTTTAAAAATAATATTTTTTTTATTATTTACCCATTGATTTTTCATGCCAGTTGTATCTGGTGGCTCTGACAGAGGACAGAAAATTCCTCTCAATGCTTGAACACAATTTTCAGTGTTCTTGTTGATTTTAGCAATCCTGTTGTCAGGATGATTCATTTCTTCCTTAGATTTTTAGTTCTCTTTTGAAATGCTCTTTGGTACTGTTTCATGTATGCCAATAATGTTGGGTACACTTCCTTTTTTTTTTAATAATAATAATAAAAATATTATTAATGATAACAATAGGCCCATAATAATTTGTTATTTAGATGCTTATTTTTACTGTCTGAAAATCATTTTCATTTTTACCATCAAAAACTTTAGCCTGTGTTGTTGGCTATTGTATCAATGTGATTGTTTGATTTATAAATAAAGTAAAAAAAAAGTATAGCTAAATAAATTTTTACTGAAAAAACCTAATCTGAACCAAATGAAGGATTGGCAATAATGTTACAAAATCTGCTTTGCATTTTTTTGGTTTGGTTTTGCTTCACCTTTTGTAAACGTTGTATTTAGCTGATCTCATATTGAAAATGATCAATAAAAACAATAATGTTTATAATAATAATAATAGCCATTATTAATCTGAAGAAATTCACTTTCTTTCTTTTGCCTAACATAAAAGATGCGTCTATTTTGTCATTCAATTACCCAGAATACTCAATGTAGATTTCCTTTTTTGTAAACTTAAATTAATAACTTCATTATATCTTTATAAATTTATTCTGAACTTAGTTTGTCAATTGATAAAATTTGCTTCTTGAATTCAATTTTAATTTCACCATTGTCACTTGTATCAAAGGCATAAAAAAGCCATAAAATTAAATATTCACGGGACCTTGAAATATTGTTCGGATAATCATTGTTCCAATAATCGACCCATTTATTAATCATTTATACAAAAAACACATCCGCTTGGTTAAAGGGAGATAACTAATATTAACAATTTTTAAAGGGAGATAATTTTGTAATTCTAAAAAAAGATTTTAAATACGTGGTCAGGTTTTAAATAATGTTGATCAAAATGCAATTTATTTATTTCTAAAATAAAATTACTGAAATTAAATGAACTGAAACAAAATTCAAATTTTATTTACTTTTAAAAATCATACTCTATTCCTCGTAAAATTTGGCATTATTCTTATAAAACAAATTTAAAAATATTAAGTATTTAGCCAGTGAAAAGTGACAATATTTTCTTTTTTATTTCTATTTCTTATAGAAGATTATAATATGATTAAAAACATTTTATATTTCACATCTACTTCCGCCCATAATGAATTTAAGTTTTCTTTTCATAATATTACATTCTTAAAAACATTTACAAAATCTGTTTTTATTTTTCAGTCTAATTTTGTGAGCCGCTCATATTGAAAATAATTCATTGCTCATGGTTTCACATACAAATATAAGTATTGAAAAGTGTATTCATAGCATGTTGGAAATAAGTAAAACTTCCTTTTTTTTCATCATTAGTGGCTTAATTTGTTTGCAAGATTTTAATAAAAATTTGTGTCTCATTGTCTCTTTTCTTTATTTTTTATTTTATTTTCATTTCACCCCAAACAAAGCAATACAGATGAGGTTACTGAGTGTGAAAGAATGAGAAAAAACAAAACATATTAAGGAGAAAGAATAATAAAAGAGAATCTAGTTTCGGTGGACTGATTTATGATCCAGCAGACATCAAACAGCTCTAATATAGATATAGATATATAAAACAAACAGACAGACACTGTCTGGGGTCTGGCCATGGATGGAATAAGGTAATTTGATTTATAGTCCCCACTTAACCTCAGAGATTACAAAGCCTTTTTTCTTACTTGTAAATTATTTGGACTATTATCCTTATCTTCATTGCCTGATTCACAACGTTTCAGACATTGAGGTAACTGGAATTTCAAACCGCACCCTTTATTTCATCCACCAGGGTAGATTGTTCTAATTCCACATGCCATGCCTCTTCTGGAAGTCTCAGTTATTTCCCTTTAACTCAACTCTTCAAGTTTTTGGTTCACCACTGCTGTGGCCTGGTATTGAACTCAAAACTCTTTGGGTCTAGTGACTGGATCTAACCAACGTCTTTATCCACTGGGCCATGCGAAGAAGGCTGGAGCGTACAATATGTGAATATGGCAATGAAGATGAGTCTGAGAAATAATGCAAGTAATCATAATACCTCATTTCAGAGATATAGACAGGTATTTATTATATATTGTTTTGTCTTTATTTCATTCTAACCTGAAGAAGCCAGAGGGAGTAGACACTTTTGGCAAAATGCATTGTTTATAGCTTTTACACTTTGTTTTGTCATCTTCACTTTTGTTATGGATACTATTATACATCTCACACACACACACACACACAGAGGAGGTAATTGTGGGCATCAGCTATGCATCTGTATAAACTGTAGTGCATGATAACTTGAGGTACTGTGGAGGTTTGTGTATGGGTGTCCAAACAAGCCAGTAATGCAGATATAGCTTCAGAAGCAACTGCAAAGCTTCTTTTTGGAGAGGATGAAAAAGCTCGTTGAAATACCAGAAATGCATCACTGTGCAGATGTTGGGGTTATGTCAAAAACCAACATATGCATTTTTTTCAATGGAGTGTTGTATGGAAATTACCATTATTTTTTGATTCACACTTGTGTATATACCTGGTGTAACAGCAAAATTGTCCAAATTGTGTAACAGCATGTGATAATTGTCCACCCCACAAAATATTTAATATCTAAAAAACCACTAAACTAATTGAGTTTCTTTTTTCCAGGTTTTCAGATAAGACATTTAACCATCTTGACATCATTTGTCATAAGAATCACTGAAAATCCCTTTGACTTATTCAGCTAGAAAGAGAACAAGTTAAACCCATGTGGCACCTTGCATTATTAGAAATATTCATAGAAATATGATTTAATTTTTTTTTACTCGGTTTATTAAACAGGTTGTTGATTTTTTTTTAAACGGAAAATAATTGAGTTGAAAATAATTCACTAAGTTGTACTTAGACGATCCTAAGGAAAGAAGAAGGAAGGGGAAAGAAAAGAGGAAGAAAGGGAAAAAAAGGAAAGAGAGATGGATGATGCATGACCCGGTCATAAGCGAAGATAGGTGTCAGAAAGATATCTTGGCCTGCGTGTTGGCCGAATTTTAAAAGACAATAGAGAATTGTTATTTGAAATGAAAAATCATTTAGAGGGAGAAAAAGAACCAGGCTTGATGACAGTGTATTGGCGATAAGAATATCGGTCAAAGCACCTAGCCTACTTTTGCGTGGAAAGACTCATTGTCAAATTGGAGAAAGGGAATTTCTTTTAGAACAATAGAAACGAAATTTTTTTAATCGGAGAAAAAGTGTCTTTTGGGTTGGTTGGGAGTGACCGGTGGAACTGTATACAGATTCTGGCCTGTTAAGAATTGGAAACCCACGATAATAAAGTGGGGACATTTTCAATGTAGATAATTAAGATTTTCTGACTGTCGGGTCTGACAAAAACAAGAGGTGAAAAACGATTGTCTCAGCTCACAGATGGCGCCAATATTCTTTCCTGAAGTCACATCTAATTAGCGGCAGGCTGTTTTGACAGAGCCCAGGTGAGAAAAAAGCCAAGATTGTCATTTTTCGTACGTGAAAAAAGGCAAAATTAGATTTTGTTTTTAAAACAAGAACGATGTAAACCACGCCCGATTTGAGAT